AAAAAAAAACACAACTATTAAATTTATTGTAGTAAACATGTGTGTATGCTACTGTGTATGTGTATACTATATGTACAATTTATACTTATCAACACGTAGCATTGTATATCTACGATACATGTAAATATAAACAATAACCTCCAATGACAAACAATAAGTTTCTTACAGGTCATTGTTTACAGGCACTGGTTACACATTTCAATTATTTTGAGGTTGTATACTGTACTACTATATGTTGCCGCATAGTTCACAATAAGATTCATAACTTGTGTTCCATAATAAAGCGAGTTAACGCAACAAATACGTCATATACGGGGTCATACAATATCATGTGATAGGTCACTTGAGCTAGCCGGTGTCAAACGCTGAATGGAAAGTAAATACTTATGAAGTTATTAAAATGTCTCAAAGAATAAGAATGATAGCCCTAATCGACCAAAATGCAAGAAGAACAAAAAATACCTGCAAAGATCATCCAAGATGTCGATCGGTATTGAATGCTTCATTTCTGTTAAATTACCGGCCGTTGATCCCATCTAACATTTATGCTTAAAAATACAATAATTTAACTCTTATTCTGTATCCAAATCGATGTTATTATCCTTGTTTTCGGTGTGTTTTTATAAAAAAAAACATCACAAACAAATAGCAACGACGACGAAATTCCGGTCACAGTTAACTTTCTTTTTTTTTTTTTAGAGTATTCTCGAAATGTTCCGGTTTTCTGTTAAAATAGTGAAGCATTATTTACGTAGGGTCGTAATCCAGAACTCTACTTTGAGTAGAGGTGGGCGTTTAAACGAAAAGCACTTAAAGTCTGCTTTTTAAAATAAGCGCATAAGCACGCTTTTCATTTTAAGCGTAAGCGTTGTTTTTAAACATAAAGTCTATGCGCTTAAACGTTTTTCTAAACGATGTTTTAAGCGTCAAACTGAAAAGCGTTTAGGTGAAAAGCGCTTTTACAAGTACGCTTTTTAAACGTACGTTTTAACGTTAAAAAATAAGCAGTTTTTTCCATTTCAACGGTTAACAACTACAAAAGTTAAACAACTTATTTTTTTGAACGCTAATGAACGCCAATGAACAAAATGTTAATATAATAATGTCATAATAAAAATATAACTCGTTTCTTACAAAAAAACTTACTTATCAGAGTCGTATTCAGAAGTCAGTGCTCAAGTCAGGATTTGAGTATTATTCAAAGCACTAGAAATCATACTCTTGGACACACAAGGACTTGAGTATGATTTTCAATGCTTTAAATCATACTCAAGTCCTGACTTGAGCATTGACTAGAGTTCTGGAATACGACCCGTAATCTCTTAATCGATCGACTGAAAGTATATTTAAAAAAAAGAATGTCAAAGTCATTGTCATAGACAAATCGATATTTTTACAGTACTGAGACCACTCTCTGTGCGAGTGCGGCGTAGAAGACGGTACCTTGGAACACATTTTTTTCAATTGTCCTAATATTGCTGTTCCACTTTATAACTTACATTCTCCAAAATTCCCCCGCCCCATTAACATAAACAACCTCTTAACTTTAGTGTTCTCCCCCCATATTGTTACTCTATGTAAATTTATCCACTTAAATAACATATATTTATAAATATTGTTTTGCTGTTTTGTTTTACATTCTCAACTGAGTACTCCCGTAGTCCAACTTACCAACACCGGTTAATGTCCTATTAGAGCTTAGCGAAAATTTTTTTTTTGTTTCGTTTTTTTTCTTTCAACTGTGACATTGGCAAAATCATCAGTTCTCATATTGATGGAGCCATAAAAATAAAAAGTGAAGTGAAGTACTGTGTATCGTACAGCTGTTAAACGTTGCAAATACTGTAAATTTGCAAAAATTAAAGCCTAAAGATGGATATAACACCGCTATTTAAAGCTTGTATAAAAACGGTGAAGACGAGGAACAAGGCTTTTGGCATACAAAGTCCCGTTAGTGAAGATAAACAGCGTATATTGCGAACTAAGCCGAAGACTGGTTTTATGACTACAGCTAAGGATATAACTTCTCAAATAACTCGATTGAGGGATTTTCTTTTAGAACACAGAGAAAGGTACTTGAGCTTTTTCAATAGTGACACTTCGGATGAAATGACAGAAGCGGAAAGGGATCAAATCGACACGGGCGCGCAGCGCATTATAAACACATGTTCCCATCTTTTAAAAGAGTTCCGAAACGATAACCGTAAGCTATCCGTGCCGCTACAGACTCGAGAGTATATGGACTCCGTCATCGACCTAATTGACGCGTATTTAAAAGCAGTCTGTAAAATCCACAGTGAATTAAAAGCTTTACGTGTAAAACGGGCACTTGATATTCGGAAACTATCACGTTTGGAACTTCCACAAACTAAATCTAACATTCCTAATCCTTTTATACGTGACAAACTTGTAGAGAAAGAAAAGGAAACAGAAATAACAGAGGAAAATAAAGAAGACATGGATAATGGGAAAACAAATTTAAATTTGTCAGAGAATGAAGTTGCAATAATGTCGGATGAGGGCGAACTTAGTACAGAAGAACTGCAGATGTTTGAATCAGAGAACTTACAACTGCTGAATGAGCTTAATAGTATGACTGAGGAAGTTAGGCAGATTGAGAGTAAAGTATTGCATATTGCTGAACTACAGGAAATATTTACTGAAAAGGTAAAACTTACTATGATTAAAATGAGTATACTTCTTCCTTTAAATGTTATGGCCCATTGACTTACAAATAAATGGACGACGGGTCTAATACAAAAACCACGAAAAAAATGTCCCAAGTCAACCTATTTAAACGTAGTGACATGTAAAGGAATATGAAAAAGCTAAAACGTTTAATTTAAATTGTAATGTCATCGCAGTACTGTCTAATTTTGCTTGCTTCGCTGTCAGTCGAACAAACGAAGACTAAAGCGTGAATGACGCTCTGTATACGATTTTAACGCCCTATAAGTTCGGACACTTTTTAGCGCGGACCCGACGTCCTTATAATTGTAAGTCAATGGCCCCATCAAAGTAATTGATGGTTTCACCAATGTCGAGTTGAGGAACGCACGCGTTTTAACTTAAAAATTAACCGGTGTCTCTTGAGAGGAGAATCTACAACTCTACAACATGTCTTTCCAATTTGTGACTACAATGACAGGGAACCTACACAGAAAAAATATAAAACATTTATATAGATGCATATTTAAAGAGATGTTTAATATTTAAAAAATTACGACTAATATTAAAGAAATCACATTCATAAAGAAATTACTTCTATCTGATAAGTGAAATAAATTTAATTAAGAAACATTTTCATCTTGCAAATGTCATAATTAGTGTCAGTGGTCAGCCATTTGTATCTGACTGTAGTTGCATTTGCATTATTTATTTAATTAATTTTTATGATGAAAAATGGTGGGGAAGTCGGCAAGTGCAACTATTTAACACAATTTAACCTTCGCAGGGTTCAGAGTAGTAAACTAATTTCCTACCATTTTGATTAAATTTAAAATTAAGTGATAGTTTTAGTGATAAATTACAAAACTACATAAAAGTTGTTTTCGTGGCTGAAGGTTTTACTTTTTTTTCTTTCTATATGCAATGAAAGTTAATTTAAATGTTTAATAAAATTACCAACAACATTTTTATTTTCCTTCATTTTTATATTTATAATTTCATCAAACCTGATGTTGTAGGTTTTATTTTTCAATACAAAAGCATATTTCATGTTAGCACTGCAACAGCTGAACTATAGGTAAATAAACATTCGATTTATCCAACTACTAGTGGTAATGTAATACTAATAATAAAGAAAAAAATCATTTAAATTTAAAATTTTGTGCTGTAGTAATAGACTGTTTTTGAATGAAAGCCACCTCTATGCTCTCTTATCTCTATCCTTCACAACATTGAACCCGTCGCTCCCAGCTACTAAGTGCTTTTATTATATTTCCTTTTTTTTTTTTTACTTTTTACTGAATTTCAGGTTCTCCAACAAGAACAAGACATCGACCGAATAGCGAACACGGTTGTGGGCGCCACGGAGAACGTCAAAGACGCCAATGACCAAATCAAGCAAGCTATTCAGCGAAATGCTGGATTGCGAGTCTACATTCTATTCTTTTTACTAGTTATGTCATTCACTCTGCTATTCTTGGACTGGTATAATGATTAAATGTATTTATTGGCGTATTTACCTACATGACCTTTTTTAGTAAAAAAATTAAATGCGTATTTAAATTTTGGCGGTGAGCTCCATCTCACCCTTCTACCTCTTCTTCATTATACTATTATAGCATTATCGAAACCGTCGATGACTCTGCCAATGTCGAGTTATGGAACACACGTGCCGATGGAAAGTGACAACGCAGTCGAGACAATTTAGCATGCACATCTAAATAATGCCTATTAAGTCTGGCCTGTATATTGGCATTGCATATCACTCATCAACTTGATGAATGCTAGCCTATCGAACAGGCCGGCTTTCGAAGTAGTTTCTCTACCATAGACCACATCCACGCGGTGAAGCAGTTGATGGAGAAGTGTCACGAGTACAACTGACCCCTTGCCGTGGCCTTCGTTGATTATGAAAAGGCATTCGACAGTGTCGAACATTGGGCCCTGTTCCACGCTCTCTATCGCTGTAACATCTACTATCGCTGCATAGATGTACTTCGGGAGCCGTACTCATCTGCAACTCTACAAGTTCGAATGCATGAACTAACCAACCCTGTACCAATCAAAAGGGGAGTGTGCCAGGGAGAATCATTTCGCCAAAACTGTTTACAGCCGTCCTAGAAGACATAGTAAAAACACATGATTGGGCGAAACTGGAGTCTTCCTGTCCCATTTACAGTTTGCAGACGACCTAGTACTCTTCACTGAAAACTTTAACGATCTCCAGCGTATGCTGCAACAACTGTATGATGCTTCTATGTGGGTGGACCTCAAGATGAATATGTCCAAGACTAAGGTGAACATCTCCAACATCACAAATCCAAGTGTCACAATTGGAAGTGAGATGTTGGAGATTGTCGATCAATTTATGGGTCAAACACAGAAAAAATGTACCTTTGTAAAATTTACATGTTCTTTTACTTAAAACTTCTTTGTAAAATTAAGTTTTGAAAATACACTAGAAACTTTTTCTTTTCTGGCACGTTAATTCTTTCCACCCATGAAATATTTAATACTTGGGTAAAATTATACAATATATTCAGTACTTTCAATGTCAAAAAAAAGAGGTTGAAATACCCTTCATACTTTTTTAAAATGTCCTACTGCAACTGTTGTATCCATTGCAATTGATAACTTATGTTTATAAGCAATTATATTATTATTATTAATACAAAGATCGAACACTCAGAAATAATTCCTTCGATCCGGCCGGATTCGAACCGACGTCTTCTAGCTTACCGTGCCAGACGCTGTACCAACTAATAATATTGCTAAACAAATTATATTGCGAAAGTTTGGTTGTGATTACCCTTAAAGATATAATAAACGATTTTCTAAAAGCTGCTTCGATATATCTTTATAATTTACATGTATATACCTAATACATATTTTCATTTATTACCCTAAATAAATCAATTTCGTTACTCAGTGTTAGTTACACAACTTTTAAAAATAATTGCTTCATTTTGGTAGGTCAATAGTTACGGCGAAGAAATTGGACGTTTGAGTTGGGTAAGTATTTTGTATAGGTATTTTTTATCAGGTGATTAACGACTGTTTTCTTTAGAAAGTGTGTTTCTGAATATTAATTTATTATCAAAGACTACTGATACATACATACATATTACTAAATTCATTGAGATTCAATTCAAAAATAAATATATTAGTTTAAAAAAAATTTGACGTAAGAATTTATCAGATATTCTTAACAGTTTCGATATGTTATGAAACTGAGAAAATATAAAGTTGTATATACATTAATTATAATGACAAACAAACTGATACATGCATAAAATTAGTAAAAAAAAGTATTTAACTAAAACTAGTTTTGTTTGCAGGAATAGCACCCATGACGAATACCGAAAGGCAAAAAAAATATCATGAACGCTTGAAAAATGACCTCGTTAAATGTGAAGTTTTGAGAAAAAAACATTTACATAGAGTTAAATCAATTAGGAAGAAAATAAAGTATCTAAGCGATACTCAAAAAAGTAAAGTAAATAAAGTTAAGTGGATCTAGTGAAGCAAAAGGAAAAGAAAATCAACTAAAGATAGATAAACACATTACTTAAAGGAAAAACAAATGAAAAAAGTATAGAAATGCAACAAGACATAAATATGGAGAGTGACAATAAAACAAAAGAAAGAAGAAACAGTACCGAAAAGAAAAGAAAACAAGCCTAGCTTTGTTAGCAATTTTAATTTAGAGATTGTAATGCGCTAAGGTTTATTTTTTAAATATTTTAATTTTGTTATAGTGTATTATAATGGTCATTTGAAAGTTCAGAAAAATAAATATTTTGGTGAATATTCAAATTTAAATACATGAGACGCCAGATATTAGTCTAGTGACCTTGACATATGTGTTCGCAACTTTATGTATCAGTTTCGTTATTTATCAATTGAGTTACATTTTTTTCGTTTTGGTTCATTTTTCTGCGTTTGACCCTTATCTCGGGCATATTTTATCTTTTGGCAAGGAGCATCAAATGAAGGAGATCACCAGAAGAATTCAGCTTGGGCGCGCCGTATTTAGGTCGATATCAAGCTTATAGACCGTGTTACCATTGTCCAGATTCGAAGTCGAACTAAGGTAAAGGACGCAGGGAACCGCATCACTAAGCTAAAGTGGAGCTGGGCAGGGCACCTGAGACAAGCTGTCAGATGGAGTAAGGCGATAACTGAGTGGCGTCCAAGGACTGTATACAGGAACGTAGGGCGTCCAGCGGCAAGATGAGGGGATGACTTCGCAGGAATTGGGGGGCGAACCTGGATGAGATTACCACGGGATCGTGGGGAGTGGCACAGAAACTTGGAGGTCTATACCCAGCAGTGGGTGAAGTCAGGCTGTATATGATGATGATGATGTATGTTGGCAGGGAATTTCATTCCATGGCCGTTCCCCATATAAATGTGAAAGCGAAACGCTTCGTGCGAATCGTTGGAATTTCCACAACATAGGGTCTTCCTACGTCTAGTCCGTCGATGATGGAAATCTCGCAATTTCTCTCCGTAATATATCTTGCAGAATACCGATATGCAGGCACAAAGGGCACAAACTAATAAGAGATGCAGGTTTCACTTCACGGTTTACAGTTCACGATTTAATATTTCTGTTGTAATATAAGACAAAAGGAAATTTCAAAAGTAAAATTCCCTAGCTCATAAAATTAAAAAAGTAAAATCGTTACGTTGCGTTTAATTTGCTGTGTTTTAGTAATAGAAAAAATCTACGAAAGAAACGGAACATGCCACTTTTATCTCTTTTTTACAAGGCAATCCTGACTTCCTGCTACTTAATGAATTTGTCCGTTGCCGGGATAACGAAGGTCGAAATGTAGTTTTATTTTAAAAATCAATTTTATTCTATCTGACGCCCGGTATCCCTCACAAAAATTAATTCTAATGCCTCATTTATTGCTTGACTGATGGTGTACCGATATTTGAGTAGAATTCGCACAATTCCGTTCCTATTTTCGAAGCAAGGTGCTGCACAAGTTTGTTTTCGAGAGTACTCTTCAATTAGTGTTAGTAAAATGGAAAAAACAAAATCATTAAAAGACTTAGGATACGGGTTCAACTCTGGTGAGTATCAATTCGATCAAACTGAACCGAAGGGATTTTTAATAGATGACATACAGGACATTTAATATTATTCTATATTTGTTTGTTAAAAGTTGTTTTTATTGTAAATAAAGATTGGAACTAAATAAAGAGTAGATAAGACTCAAAGAGTAAGGTAAGTTTGGGAAATAAGACCTAAACAAACAGTGAGTACTGTAATTATATTATGTAATTTTATTGATTTAAGTTTTTATTCTTCTCTATTTTCTCTCTGCCTGATAGTTGAGAAAATTCGGTTGAAAATGTTTCTATAGTCCAAAACCTATCACTCGCCGGCCGCTGCCGCGTACGCGATTCGTGCGGTTGATTCTCAACCTAAACAGCTTTGTGACTTTGCATTAAATGTACAATTTGTTGCAAAATAAAGGATAGTTTAAAAAAAATTCTGTTCTGTTTTTAGTAGCACCTTCTATTCATTCAATCAGGTAGATTTCCTTGTTAAATTATTTAGATATTTGCCATTCTACTTATGAATAGACAATAAGTGTGAATATAAAACTTTTTCTATTTAGCTGGACAGCTAAGAAAATTAGGTGCTAATGGAGAAGTTGCAGATGAGCAATTCCAGTTCAACATAAGCGATAATCATCAAGAATGCCAAGCGCATTATGAAGAAATAGGTAATGCCGTAACTCCATATGTTTATGACCTTTTGGAGACTCAAGAGAAATTGACTAGGCTGCCTATTCCTAAGAATGCACCACTGGGAAGTGGAACATTTATATTTGCCTCTGAAAACTATGATGAAAAAGATATTTTATTAGTTTTAATTCACGGTACGGGTGTTGTCCGTGCTGGTCAGTGGGCTAGATCGTAAGTATTCAATGATGAGTTTTATGAATCTTCTTATTTATTTAATAATATATGTTTCATAAAACCTTGAATTTCTATTTTTACAGCCTAATTATCAATGAAAGTTTACACTGTGGTACGCAGATTCCTTACATTCGAAAGGGTATAAACAAAGGGTACGGTGTCATAGTACTGAATACAAATGACAATTTCACAGTAAATGGAAAAAAAATACCTGAAAGTGGAACTGCAGAGGAACACGCTCAATATGTATGGGAGACATACATAGCAAAGACGAAAGCTAAATCAATTTTGATTGTAGCTCACAGTTACGGTGGAGTAGTGACCCTTGCATTAGCTGATGAGAACACAAAAGATTTTGAGAATAGAGTTAAAGCTGTAGCTTTTACTGATTCTGTACATGCTTATTCTAATAATAAAGTACCTAAGTATTTATTACAGGTACAAATTAAGATATCTATCTTTCAATAGTGTACAGTTTTTTGATGCATTTTTTAAATTTTTATTTTTGTTTTGTAGATTGCCACTAACTGGATATCCAGTCCGGAACCCCTGGACACACCTTTGAAGAGTCCAGAATTTGACATTCCAAGAGTATCAGCAGGTATAATTTATCTGTACTTTATATATCATCATAGTGTAAAAATATATATCTAAATATACACATATAAATAAACAAAATTATATATACCTATAAAAAAAAACATATATTTGTATGAACATATCATCAGTGGAAAGGTGAATGCCTATAGTGCCATATAAGGTAACCAAACAGGAGTGAATTTTTCACATTGAAGTGGCAAATGATCAGATTATTGAAGCGTTAAAAAAGTACTTGGATTCATACGAAACTTAGCGATTGTTGGAGAAAAAACGGTAGACTAGGGTTATTGGTGATGCACCACACAAACCTTTATTGGACCCAAACTTTTCATAGGGATAGCATACAGCCTGGCAAAGCTCACTCTGCTAAATGACAGCATACACCTCTCCCGAGAAGTGTGGCTACAGAACAAGGGTCTTGAGCATTCAAAAGCCCTGATATCTGCCTACAGTGCCAAACACGGTGGAGCTCTGTCATTGGACAGGAATGGCATAAGAATGCTCACTAGAGCCATAACGGGGCATTGTGACTTAAACAAGCACATGTCAAATATTGGGCAGAGAGAAAATAGATTCTGCCATATGGAGGATGAAACTCCTGTTCATCTACTCACCCAATGCTACCCCCTGATGGGCGTACGAAGTTCCATACTGGGAAGGCACAAGTCACAATCAGAAGACATTAAATCTGTCGGAGCCAGGAATGTCCTTCAGTTTTTCAATGCTGTCGGCCTTGGCTCTGTACTGCAATTAGTCGTGATCACAATAGATCAGTCAATGGTCGCAGTGATGAGGGGATGCATAGGCCCTGAATAAAGCCACCCTAATAATAATAATAATAATCATGGTATCGGCAGGGGCTGGGGCAACTCGGTCCCAGCAATCGGTACCCGCCTCTGGTGGAGTACGGCGCCGCATGGCATGGACGATTGATATGAATAAAAATGCCATGCGGGCCTATTTTAGGGCCTCAGGTTCGGGAACCGGACGGACAGGTTATCGAGCAGTAATGTACCGCGAATTTATTCGGCTGGAGCCAACTTTGACCGTCACAGAACAAAACCTGGCGGACCGAGTTCGGTACCTACAGCGCTCAGGACTTTTTAGCGCTGCCGAACTCGAGCAATTACGATGCGAGGCTGTTCCTCCACTGGAAGAAGAGCCACCCAGGCTGGAGCGCTCTCCTGTTCTCAGCAGGGAAGTTCACAGGGAACCTAGTGCTCAGCAGCCGGATACGGGTGGTACTGAAAGTGATTGGGGAACAGCCGCCCTGGATTTGGAAGCGTTGAGGAGTAGTCTGGAGGAGACGATTCTGGAATATCGCCACGTGCCTCTCGAGCGAAGGCCACGGCTGCCTCGAGTGCCTCTCAGTATCAAGGTTCGGGATGCCGTTGGGGCCATTAACAACATGCTTCCCTCATTTTTAGAGGAAAGCGTAGGCCTTTGGGAGACAGACTCAATTCTCTTCGCTGCCGCAATGACTGTGTGTCAATTTGTCGGCGTCAGGATACCGCCAACAAGACCCGGCGGTAACCACCAGGTTGGCAGCACTACTCCTAGGACTAGTACTAAGCCAGCCTGGATGAGGCGAATTGAGGGTCGTATAGCATGGGCCAGGGTCCTCATCGGCAAACTGACTAGCTTCAGATCAGGCGTCACAAGGCCGAGAGTGATGCGCTTTGTCCGAGAAGCATTCCCCGGTGAGAACATTTTTGTAGACTCACCGGAGTTTGCACGAAAACTGACAGGGCGCATCGATGATCTGAAGCAGAAGATAGCTGCTTGGGGCAAGCGGATTCGGCGATATTCCGAAAGGGTGAAGAGGTATCGGCAGAATCGTCTCTTCATGAGTGACCAAAAGAAGTTTTATAGGACACTGGAGCGTCCTGATGTGGTCTTGACGGGTGAGCGTCCGGACAAAGCAGAAGTGGTCGCCTTTTGGCGAAGGCTTTGGTCGCAGCCCGTCGATCACGAAGAGGGTCCATGGTTCGAAGCGGTCGAGGGAGCATGTGCAACCATAGCGCCTATGAATCCCATCAGCATATCCGAAGAGGATGTAGCGGTAGCGGTCCGTAAGGCTCCGAACTGGAAAAGTCCGGGACCGGACGGACTGCATCATTATTGGCTGAAGGGGTTCTGGTGCTGCCACGCTACTCTCGCTCGTCAGTTCCAAAGTGCCCTTGAGAGTGGGACGCTCCCAAACTTCTTAACTACTGGGGTCACTCATTTAGCTCCAAAGAGCGATGCTACCGTGGATCCATCACAGTATCGCCCCATAACTTGTCTTTGTACAATATACAAGACTTTAACATCTGTTTTGAGCTCCAAGATAAGTCAGCACATTGTTGATAACAGTGTGATGTCTGAGGCTCAGAACGGATGTAGGGGCGGTAGCCGCGGTAGTAAGGAGCTGCTCCTCATCGACGCGGTCGCTGGCCAACTTGTCAGACGCAACCGTCGGAATTTCTCCGCTGCCTGGATAGACTATAGGAAAGCGTTCGACTCGGTGCCCCACTCATGGCTCTCGAGGGTCCTCGAACTGTATAAAATTGACAGTGCAGTTCGACACTTCCTCGGGCAATGCATGGGATGTTGGAGAACGATCCTGAGTCTGGACGGTCGGCGGATGACGGATGCGGATGACCGAATAGAAATAAGGCGAGGTATTTTCCAGGGCGATTGTCTGAGTCCACTGTGGTTTTGCCTGGCCCTGAACCCTCTGAGTACTCTATTGGAGAGGTCGGGCACAGGCTTTCAGTTTCGGAGAGGTGGGCCGCGAATGCCTCACCTTCTCTACATGGATGATCTCAAGCTATACGGCCCCACAGCTGACAGATTGACGGAGCTGCTGACAATCACCAACGATTTCAGCAGTTCGGTTAGGATGGAGCTTGGGATCGATAAGTGCGCGGTGGTCCATGTTGAGAGGGGACGTGTCATGCATTCTGATGGCATTAATATTGGCACCAATCACCTGCGGGTACTCTCCGAGACTGAAACATACCGGTATTTGGGCATGTCACAAACCATCGGAGTGAAGGAAGCAGACGTGAAACAGGGTGTGTGCGAGGTTTTTTATGGGCGCCTGAAAAATGTGCTAAACAGCTATTTGTCAGGCGTTAATAAGATCCGAGCTTATAACTCCTGGGTCATGCCTGTTCTGATGTACACATTTGGCGTGCTCAAATGGACTCAGACGGAATTAGACGCTCTGGATAGACGAGTCCGCACGACGATGACCTCTCACCGAATGCATCATCCGAGATCGTCAGTTATGAGATTGTATGTCCCGCGGAAGTGTGGAGGTAGAGGCCTATTAAGTGTCAAAACCATGCACAACCGCGAGATATGCAGTCTCAGAAACTACTTTTTGACGATGACGGATGACGTAATTCGTGGAGAGGTTGTCACATGTGATAAAGGGCTAACTCCCTTATCGTTGGCCAAAGAGGAATGGCGAGACCCGGTGGTGCTTAGCACTTCTGACCGCGAGTCCGTATGGAAAGAGAAGGAGCTCCATGGGAGGTTCTTCAAGGTACTCCACGAGCCTTTTATGGACCGTAAAGCCTCCCTACATTGGCTGCGTTTCGGGGACCTCTTTGGGGAAACCGAAGGTTTTGTCTGTGCAATACAGGATCAGGTTATCAAGACGCGGAACTATCGGAAATATATCCTAAAGGACGGCACAGTAGACATTTGTCGGGCATGTGGCCGTCCCGGAGAGTCACTTAGGCATATTGTTTCCGGTTGTTCCGCTCTTGCTAACACTGAGTACTTGCACAGACACAACCAGGCAGCCAAAATATTACACCAAGAGCTCGCTCTCAAGTACGGATTAGTGCAACAGAGGTTGCCATATTACAAGTATTCACCGGAGCCAATACTCGAAGATGACCGCACCAAAATCTATTGGGATCGATCTATTATCACGGACAGGACTATTCTTGCGAATAAGCCTGATATTGTGATATTGGATCGATCGCAGTCGAGGGTATTTCTTGTGGACGTCACCATCCCGCATGACGAGGGTCTTGTGAAAGCTGAAACCGAGAAACGCCGGAAGTATCTCGACCTGGCGCACGAGATCACCGACATGTGGGATGTGGCCTCCACTGAAATAATCCCAATTGTTTTGTCCGCAAATGGGTTAATTCCAGTCAGCCTTTCTAACAGCTTGAGGCGGTTGGATTTCTGTGGCGTGTCGCTTCCAGCACAAATGCAGAAGGCGGTCCTGCTCGATACGGCACGTATTGTTCGCCGATTCTTGGACCTGAGTCCCTGACCCCGGCCGACTGTGCCATTGCCGGGAAATACCGCCTCTCCCATTTAAAAATTCAAAATTAATTTTTTAGGCCTTGGGAGAGGCGAGAGTTTAAAATAAATACGAAAATAATAATAATATTGGTGATGTAGGTTTCTTGACCTTTACATCAGCGGATTTTATGTATGTAAAAAAATGCGAAAAATGTACATCACCACTGAATCTATGATTTTGTGATATTTATTAACAAAAGAACCAATCTGTATGAAAACAATCAATCAATGGTTTGCTTAATAGATGTGGAATTTTATTAGTTATATTCTAGAAACTATACTACTAATAATACTAAATCCAAATATTTATTTAGATTTCTGTGGGTAAGCTGCGTTTTCGGCTAACAGTCTGTTTCTGGAATGTTTGCACATTATTCCAGGGTTTCTTTTAGGTCATGTCACCACTCGAACATCTGCAATGAATATCAGCATTGATGAATGTGGATGTGCTTATTTTAATTCAAGCAGATTGTTAACGGATGCTGGTGCTGATATTTGCAATATGCTATGATATGATATGCTGTAGACTTTATTTTTATTATTATGTACAGGGTGTCCCGGGACGCGACGTCAAGCCGGAACGGGGTGATAGGCCGGGTAATAACTGTTATCAGAAAAATAAAAAATAAAATCTATGTCATGTATTTTAAAAATTATGACCATTTTGAAAAAAATCGAAAATTATACACCCTGTGACGCATTTTCACTTCCCGTTTCTACAAATTTCCACTTTATTTTAATGAAAATGCTCCTGTAGCTAGTCGTCTAAAATTTTGACACAACTGCTCTAATTTTGAAAAAAAAATGACACATTATTCCCATATCAAAAGAGAAATTGAATTTTCGTTCAATTTCAACTCACTCTACCGAAAAAAAAAATGTACTACACTGGTTGGGCAAGTAGCTTTAAAAGTTGGCGCATTTTAAGAGGATTCCAAAATGGTATTACACTTGCTACTTTATTTCTTAGATTGTGGTCAAATAATTTTTTTTGTGAACAAAACCGGTTTTCAACTATTTTTTATTTCTTAATTTAAATTTATTTAGTGTACCCAATCCTTCGCTCGGAACGGTAACTATGACATAATTCTTAACGGTAACTATGAGAGAGACGGAGAGAGCTATTCTACGAAGTGTGAGTGAGATAGAGAGTGACGCCGCTAATGTGTGAGAT